AAACTATATATGTATGTAGTACAATTTACGGAACATATCACATAACACTGATTATATGAAAAAAAAGCGAAATTCGTAAAGATTAAGAATGAAGAATTACACAAAATTCCTAGAAAGATAATCCCTTCCGAAAAGATGTAGATATGAATGAATAACAGGATATGAGTTAATGGATAAAGATTTTTAAAATTCTATAAAAGTTATAAAAAAATTGACACATATCATGTAGAGTATCATTATAGCAATTAGATGCATTTTTTGTATTGCATACAAGTTCTACCACAATGTTAATTACATTTATGTGTCCAAACTTAGAATTTTCCTAGCATGAAACTTTAATTTGTAAAGTATTTCCGCCATAAAAGACAGAGGTATTGAGCCCTTGTCCAAAATGTTAATATAACCCTTTCTAAGACAACACTGATCCTCTGATATTACGGTTGTAACGTTGGTGTGTGTCCGCCCCAAGAGTTAATGTACGTTTCTAGAATCGGACGATCAAAATAATTCATTTCCCCCACTTCCTTGTTTCTCACTCTTTTCTGACACCTAAGTTTACTGCCAATAAACGCATAGACCACTTGTTAAATAAAAACAAGTGAAGTTTTGTCTACACTACAAAATGGTATATAGCTAAATGTTCTAGGGTTAGTGCGGAGTAGACTCGCATATAATTAAAACTTTACTGCAAATATCATAGACCCTGATTTGCCGTAGCTTAATACGCAGGTAGATAAGGGTATTGTTTGTTCAACTGATTCTGTTAAATACAAAGACCTAGATCTCACGATGTTAAATACATAGACATAGATCTCATGATGTTAAATGCATAGACCCAGATCTCATGATGTTAAATGCATAGACATAGATCTCATGATGTTAAATGCATAGACCTAGATCTCATGATGTCAAATGCATAGACCTAGATCTCATGATGGTAAATGCATAGACCTAGATCTCATGATGTTAAATGCATAGACCTAGATCTCATGATGTTAAATGCATAGACCTAGATCTCATGATGCGTTATGCACAAGCAGATATCGGTGCATGATGTCTATAACTGGAACAGATTTATGCATATCCATACATGCATCACTACTCAAATAAATGACGCACGTCATGAGCAATCTTCTACTACAGGAGACGACGATAGCACGAAAACCGAAAAAAGCCTGCTACTTTTTAGGAATCAAAGTAAGGTAGCACGAAACCTGAAAAGTCTATTACTTTACAGCAGTAGTCTAAAACTCAAACCACCCCGAGGGCCGCTTGAGTGCATTTTCTATGGCTTGAGGGCCGCTTGAGTGCATTTTCGATGGCCCAAGGGCCGCATCACCTTTGTGTTCTCTCAAGACCCCTTGTGACGCCAATTATTTTGCGGGCCACATGATACGGCTTGGCGCGCCGCGTATTTGAGATCCCTATTTTATAGACCTCAAAGTTAGATGGCAGTAAAAAAAACCGACAAGAGTCACACACTTTATTTACCTCAGTGTTGGACGATAGCACAAAATTAGACAAGAGCCACACACTTTATTGACCTCAAAGTTAGATGACCGAACATAAATCGACAAGGGCCACACACCTTATTGAGTTCAAAATTAGATGACAACACAAACAGAGAAAGAGCTGAACGTTTTATAAGCCTTAAAGTTAAATGATAGCACGTAAACCGACAAGAGCCACGCACATTATAGAGCACAAAATTAGATGACAGCACAACAGTCGACAAGAGCCACACACTTTATTGACCACAAAGGTAGATAACAGTACAAAATCCGACAGGAGCCAAACACATTATTGACCTCAAAGTTAGATGACAGTACAAAATCCAACAAAAGCCAAACACTTTATTTACCTCAAGCTTAGATAACAGCACAAAATTCTATAAGAGCCACACACTTAGTTCAGCTCAAACTTATATGACAGCACAATAACCGACAAAAGCCACACACTTCATAGACCTCAAAGTTATATGACATCACAAAAACAGACAAGAGCCACACATTTTATTGACCTCAAAGTTAGATAATAGCACATATTCCGACAAGAGCCACACACTTTATAGACCTCAAAGCTAGGTGATAGTACGTAAACCGACAAGAAAACACTTATTGACTTCAAAGTTAGATGACAGCATATACACCGATAAGAGCCACACACTTTATAAAACTCAAAGTTAGATGACAGCACGTAAACCGACGAGAGCCACACACTTTATAGGGCTCAAAAATTAGATGACAGAACAAAATCCCAGAAGAGCCTCACACTTTATTGACCTCAAAGTTAGATGACAGTACAAAATCCGACAGGAGTCAAACACTTTATTTACCTCAAGCTTAGATAACAGCACAAAATCAGATACGAGCCACACACATTATTCAGTTCAAACTTAGATAACAGCACAATAACCGTCAAGAGCCAAATACTTTATGGACCTCAAAATTAGATGATATCTTAAATCGATAAGAGCCACGATTTATATGCCTCAAAGTTAGATGGCAGCATAAATTCCGATAAGAGCCACACACTTTACGGGCCTCAAAGTTAGATGACAGCATAAATTCCGATAAGAGCCACACATTTTACGGGCCTCAAAGTTAGATGACAGCACAAAAACTGACGAGAGCCACACAATATATTGACCTCAAATTCAAATGACAGCACAAAATCCAACATGAACCACACAGTTTAGACCTCAAACTTAGATGACAGCACAAAATCCGACAAGAGCCACATATTGTATTGTCCTTAAAGTTAGATGACAGCACAAAACCCCACAAGAGCCACACACTTTATTCACTTCAAAGTCAGACATCAGCAATATTCCCACAAAAGCCACACACGTTAAAGACCTCAAAGCTAGACGAGAGCACAAAATCCGAATTCTGACAAGAGCCACACACTTTACAGACCTCAAAGCTAGACGATAGCACGTAAACCGACAAGGGCAACTCCCCTTATTGACTTCAAGGTTAGATGACAGCTCAAAACCGACAAGAGCCACACACTTTATAGATTTCAGTTAGATGAGAGCAACAAAATAAAAACGACAAAAGCCACACATTTTATAGGCCTCAAAGTTAGATGACAGCACATAATCTGATAAGAGCCACAAACTTTACTGATCTCAAAGTCAAAGGAGAGCAAAAAATCAGTCAAGAGCCACACACTTCATTAAACACAAAGTTAGATGATATTTTTCAAAATGCAACAAGATCTCCACACATTATAGACATCAAAGTAAGATGACATTAAATCCGACAAGAGGCAGGCACTTTTATTAACTTCAAGGTTGATGACAGCACTAGAAACCGACAAGAGACACACACTTTATAGAGCTCAAAGTTAGGTGACAGCACAAAATTCGACAAGAGCCACGCACTTTATATATATATATATATATCAAAGTTAGATGACAGCATAAAATCCGAGACGAGACACACACTTTTATTAATCTTAAAGTTAGATGACAGCACAAAATCCGACAAGAGCCACACGTTTATTGACCTCAAAACCATAGACTGACTGACCTAAGGTGGCGTAGTTAAATAATTTCCCTGTGTTAGGGATAGGTGTAGAGTTTCAAGGTCGTGAAACTGCTGACGGTACGGAGTGATGATGAAGAGAAACTATGCAGATGTTCGGTTGATAGATATTTGGCAAGTTGTGAATTGGTCTTGCATTGATTAGAGTAAAATTTATGTATAGAATGGAGACGTCGGGCTTTCTAACTGACAAATGAAGTTGAGTAGAAGTCTTTGGAAATTTGGGGTAAACTTATGACTTCTAGTGGGAATCGCGCCTGGGTTTTGACACCGCTCGGTCAAGCAAAGACCACTGGCTTTTAACAATATAATGGTTCGAGCAATATCACGTGTTTCAGTCTACCGCATTCGAGTAGGCGAACCTTTTGGCAACTGAATATGATCTGTCTCCCTAAGAAATATGCCATCCTGAATTATAGAACATATTTTCAACAAGCTTCATAGTGTGTCAAGTACACGTTGTACGCTCATCTCTAAACACTTTTAAATATAAATCTTCCACAAGTGTGAATTAGCCACATTCAATTCCACGTGAATCATTTTTTGTTTATAAATGCTTCTTACCACGCGGTTTGATGACACATCCTTACCTTGAGCATGTTAAGTCATTACGTTGTTAATGCTTTTGGTTGATACATGCATGAATATTGCAAATATAACAAATTGGAAGTACAAAGTACGAGAACTCAAGCGACGAGTCATGAGTTTAATACCTGTTTATTTATAGCTCTAGTAGTTTACTTGTAACTAACTTTTTAGCATCATATAAATTTTCATAATTAAAACAAAACTGGTAATTTGCTTATCAACATCCACCCACCCTCCATCTTCTTTTATAAAGGATAGAACGTTGAAGTTTCTTACCTAAATCATCAGCCACGAGAAGTACAATATGTGGTGGGCGTGCAGACGATATACACACCAACAGGAAAATAACAAGTGAGGACAGCAGAACCTGTGTTTCCACCATCTTTGTGAAGTAGAAAAATGTCAAGTTTTGGTTGATAAACCAGGTGACTTTAATTTACAGTGACTTTATCGAGGGGTTTAATGTCAACGGTTTGCTCTTAGTAGATTCTATTCCAAACGCGTGTTATATTCTGCTACCTCGTTCAAACCACTCCATTTAGTTATCAGATATACATATCGAAAGTCCGCATGGCGTGAGGTCCAAAAGGCGCTCGAGGCTCTGTGGCAAACTGGGTCAAATCGCGTCGCGTCAAGGGAAAGGAGCAACGGGATGTTTGAAAATGTGGAGAAAAAAAAGTTAAAAATAAGTTCACTGGAATTGCACATGTTCGAACAGACATAGAGTGAAACCTTGAATTATTAACCTCTTTCATTATTCAACTTTGAATAATTCCTGTAATTTTGTTTAATAATACTGTCTGGAATTAGCTTATATTGAAAAGAATAAGGCAGAGATCAATCTATATATCTATGTTGTCTAATCTGGTGGCCTAAGTGGCTAAAGCGTCCGTCTCTGATGATGGAGGTCGCGGGTTCGAACCCCGACCAAGTTATACCAAAGACTTTTTACCACAATGGTACTTGCAGCTTCCTCGCTTGGCGCTCCGCCTCAAGAGGTTAGTGTTAGAACTCGTAGGCCTGGTGTCAGGATAATGTGACTGAGTTGAACATAATGCTCAAATATTACTGCGACATGATACCCCAGTGTCTCATCACTATAAACTGCCAAACTGCAGACATTGTAGCGATATAAATGAAAAGTTGTAAAAGCTACGTTAAAATTTCAATTCATTCAATTATTCATTCATTCATGCATGCATGAATGCATACATACATTATGCATTGTGCATACATACATACATACATACATACATACATACATACATACATGCATACATACATACATACATACATGCATACAAGATGAAATTGTAGGGAGCAAATTACATTCCATTAACACAATATTGGCCTTCCATGTTTTTACGAGTATATCCTGTCCATTATCTCGTGGACGTCACAAAAGGATAAGATGTACATCAAATACCTAAACATTATTTAGCATTAAATTGAACTTTTGGATAAAGAAGGAAAACCCTGTTTAAGTGTTACTTCTTATATCCTGATATAATCTTTCACCATGTTTTTGAATGCCTGCTGTATTTAGGGATATTTCATTTTAAATTCATAGGGAAAGAAACGTATTTTGAATATTTGTTCCTTAAGAAAGGTGCTTAATAATCTCTCTCTCTCTCTCTCTCTCTCTCTCTCTCTCTCTCTCTCTCTCTCTCTCTCTCTCTCTCTCTCTCTCTCTCTCTCTCTCTCTCTCTCTCTCCATTTTGCCCAAATCAACTCAAAATTAACGTACATAGAAGTTGCTGCTAAAACTAATCTCTCAATCTTTTCTCAAATTTATCAATGGATATTGGTTATTTTGATGAACTTAAATATAATTTAATTCTAATCTAGAAACGAGCAGAACTTATCGGTATGATTTCACTTTCACGGAATATCAGATTCTAGATGTTGGTAGTGATGGTTGGCCGCCGAGATTCTTAATATTTAATACCAGAAACAAGTTCATGCACTGGTATGAGGCACAAATGTTTAATAAAAATCCCAAATCTTTAACTAGTATTAAACTAGAGAGAGAGAGAGAGAGAGAGAGAGAGAGAGAGAGAGAGAGAGAGAGAGAGAGAGAGAGAGAGAGAAGGCAGTTATGCAGATGGGTTTGGTACTGTAAAAGCTACTGGTTTAGGTTTTTCGTTAGATTTTAGCTTTTATTTTACATCAAGCAAATGTTGTTTGAATTTCGTATGAACCCGAATGTAACAACTAGTAAAATTTTTATTGACACTTCCCAGTTAGACTCAAAGTCTCAATCTCTGAATCAAAATTTTCAGCACCTTTATTTGTAAAGTAGTTATACCCCCCCCCCTAAAACCCACCAAAAACGGAGACAAGCGTCCATAAGCTTTTCCGGTTTTTGGATCAAATATATTTTTCCTACATGATGCACTTCCAGTCCGCTATTATTGCTTAATACATTATGGCATGCTAAGCTGTTATTGAAATTTATATGCTTCTTGTCACAACGCAATACCAACATACTGATGTATTTAACATCGTCGTCGTCGTTATCATCATCATGTTGGTAGCTGTTTTATTGCAAGGCAGTACACATATACAGATGTATTCGTGTGATGCTAGCTCTGCATTACTGGCAGATGTAACTGCATACACGCTGTTTTGAAGGCAATTAGAGGAGTCACGGTACTAATTCAATTCCCATAGTAAACATATGGAAACACCATCATATTTGAAATTCAATAACTTAAAATTTCTGGGTACTGATGATCAGACATATATTTCTCTATGCACAACTATCCTTGGTGCAAGCTTCTGTGTGGAGAACACCATATGAGCCGCAGCATTTTCTTGACCTACATATGCATGAAGTCCATGTTATTGATTCAGCACCAAGCGAATCAAGTGCTACTTTCATTATTGAGTAATCCTAAGTCAATTCTTTAAAAATACTAAAATTGCATCAATAGAAATTTGTCTTTTTTTTAAAATTGCACATAGGATAAGCTTTCAAAAGATATTTTTAATAAAATTTTACTTTTCATTATTAACCAATTATGGACCACCAAACCCGTATACACTCTATTATTTCTTCACCCATTTTTAGACTGGTTCACAGTTCTTCCATTGAATTAGTACCGTGTGTCCTATAATATCTTAGAAACAAAATGGATGCCAACCATTCATAATGTTCTTTTGGGAGAGGCATATTAGAACCAGTTTACATTATTCTTTAAAATTAAAAAACATTACGATTAGTATGAATTATTTAGAAATACTTGTCTTACCAAGTTCCAAAAAATAAGCTTCGGCCATAAAAATTCTATGTATTATTTTTGAGTGGGGAAATAATTTTCATAACACAATCTAAAAAGAGGCTTTTGGCCTTAAATAAGCATCATGTCATATTACAATGCATTTTAGGTAACAAAATAAATACTTTTGGAATCCCTTTAATATTTGTAATTATTGTGATTTTCGTTAAAAATATATATGTACGTGATTTTTGTGCCATAAGTATATCCCTTACCACCTAACATCAAATTGAGCTTTAGTCGAAGATGGTCAACAATTTTGGAACAATCTAACTCTTTACTTATTGTAGCGCTAAATTCCAGTAATTCGGTGGAAGCAGATTGTACATCAAAAACAGATCTGTAATGCCAAATATTGTTCTATAAATAGCAGGAAAAGTTTACCAACTGGAAAAAATGCTGCTTATTTGACCTTTATTTAGCGAGAATGAGCAAGTGGCTCTGAGCGAGATATGACATTGTCTATATCGCTTGCATTTGTCTTTAATACGTTTTATCAATCAATCTATAATTATCATTGTGAAATGATTGATATTTTTGTATCGCTTGCATTTGTCTTTAATACGTTTTATCAATCTATAATTATCATTGTGAAATGTTTGATATTTTTGTATCGCTTGCATTTGTCTTTAATACGTTTTATCAATCTATAATTATCATTGTGAAATGATTGATATTTTTGTATCGCTTGCATTTGTCTTTAATACGTTTTATCAATCTATAATTATCATTGTGAAATGATTGATATTTTTGTATCGCTTGCATTTGTCTTTAATACTATTTATTAGTTAATATATAATTATCATTCTGAAATGTTTGAAAATGAGACCATGTCATGGCTGATAATTACATTATCTATGAGCACTTATCATACACATCCTAAATGACTAAATCTGTCTGGTCATAGTATAACAAAGTAAACCGATGCAGTATATTTGCCTGCATGCACGCACGCACGTACATAAGTACTTACGTACTATAATATTTGTCTTTAATACTATGTATCAGCAAATCTAAAATTATCATTCTGAAATGTTTGAAAACGGGACCGTGTCATGGCTGATAATTACATTATCTAGGAGTACTTATCATGCACATTTGAAATGAATAAATCTGTCTAGTCATAGTATAATATAAAGTAAACTGATGCAGTATATTTGCCTGCATGCATGCATGCACGCACGCACGCACGTACATGTATGTATGTATGTATGTATGTATGTATGTATGTATGTATGTATGTATGTATGTATGTATGTATGTATGTATGCCTTCTATCCATGTATGTATGTATGTATGTATGTATGTATGTATGTATGTATGTATGTATGTATGTATGTATGTATGTATGTATGTATGTATGTATGTATGTATGTATGTACGTACGTACGTACGTACGTACGTACGTACGTACGTACGTACGTACTTACGTACGTACGTACGTACGTACGTATGTATGTATGTATGTATGTATGTATGTATGTATGTATGTATGTATGTATGTATGTATGTATGTATGTATGTATGTATGTATGTATGTATGTATGTATGTGTTTGTGTGTGTGTATGTATGTATGTATGTATGTATGTATGTATGTATGTATGTATGTATGTATGTATGTATGTATGTATGTATGTATGTATGTATGTATGTATGTATGTATGTATGTATGTATGCATGTATGTATGCATGTATGTATGCATGTATGTATGTATAGAAGGATAGGAGGACGGATGGATGTAAAGGATTTTATCAAATTATGTATCAACACTAATGGCACAAGACTTAAATGAATCACAACTCTCTATCTCAATAAAAATCTATGGTCCTTGATCCATTCTACTCTTTGAACCATTCTATCTGTACGCTTTGCTAAACGATATCTGCTGATGCAATATATTTTCAGACTAGTTCATTGGATTGAATTTTCTATTAAGACATATCACACAAGAATTAAATGACTGATTGCTGTCTATTCGTTGTATAACTTTATGGACACGAAACCCTACAGACAGGAATGTTTGGAAACATGAGTTATTGTGATACATTATATTTTGGATTCAGACAGGTTCATTAATTGCATGAGATGATCGGATATAATGTCCTTTTTCCCAAAATGTTGGCCGTTGTCCTCGTCTAACTGGGTTTCTGGTGAATTATTTTGGTTCTCGAGAATGTCTACGTAATAGATCGAAATACTTTTTTGTTTTCTTCCACAGGCACCTCGAGACTTTAAAATGGACTCCTGTGAAACGAATACATATTAGACCCCCCTATGAAAACATGATACTTTTAGTACATATTATATACATCTATCGAAACCAACTCGATATGAAAATAAACGCTTACAATAATCTTAGATTAACGTAAGAAGATTCAACGTTACAAATTCTTTTCTGGTTGTGATGTTATTATTTAAATGGTTTTAAATCTGATTGTGGGTGGTCTGTAAGCAATAAACTGATAGGGTAGGCTTGAAACACATGCATCTTGGATCTGAATCCATGGTGGCTTGATGTCAAGATCAGCATCTGTTACTGTATAACTAGGCGGGCCCGTACTTTGATCCATGAACTTAGGTTTGATTCTCAGCCACGACATCTAGTAGTTTATATCAGTTATTAATTGAAAACATAAGCATATTTAAAACGAT